GTTTTCCGTGGGAAACTCATGCAATCGCATGGAATGTATTTATATTATATTTATATTTATAGATAATTAATTATCCGTATATTATTATATGAATAAGGAAAAACCATCGTGAGAAATACGACTTATATAACAGTAGAGATACATTAAACAAAAATTATCACCATTCTATCATAATACATTTCTAGTTTTACAAACTAGAAATATTTTTAAAGATAAAAATCCTAAATATTTTTGCCTCTCTCGAGAGTCGTGAAATCAATCGAAATAAATAAAACACGATAATAACATGCATAATAATAATAATAATAATAATAATAATAATAATAATATAACGATCATAATGAGTTCGTTTAATTTCTAATCCGATCTTGTTCGAGATCTATCCAAATTTTCATCATTATCTTCGTGAACATTATCATTCGTATTAAGGTCTTCTTTGTCGTTCCATTTTTCAGATTTAATTCCCTTCCAATCGAGATTCACTCGTACCGGTACCTGAACCCAATAAGGGAATGGTTTCTCTATCGATACAGGTACTGGTTTCGGCACGTACACTTCGTACGGTTTGTCCACGGGCACTTTAATCTGAACGGGATAATGTTTTTTTACCTCCACTTCGATTGGTTTTTCCACTGTATATGGTTCCGGTGCAGGTACCTTTATCGGCACAGGTACCGGCCTCTCAATCGGTACAGGGAAAGGTTTATCGACCGGTACCTTAACCTGAACGGGATACGGTTTAGTCACAGGAACTAGATACGGTTTGGCGACCTCGACGGGATATGGTTTAGGTACTGGCACTGGATAAGGTCGATTCACGATTACTTTGACCGGTACGGGCACCTTTTTTTCCACCTCGTAGGGCTGCGGTACCTTAACCGGTACTTTGACCTCGTAGGGCACTGTCTTATCGACGGTATACGGCTGCGGTACCGGTACCTTCACCTCTATCGGTATCTTTTTCTCAACCGTGTACGGTTGTGGAACAGGTATCTCCACTTTGTACGGTACCGGCCGATCCACCTTCACCTCGTAGGGTACTTTCTTCTCCACGGTGTACGGTTCTGGCACCTCGACGGGTACGTTCACGAACACTTTTACTGGATACGGTACTTTTTTCTCAACCGTGTACGGTTGTGGTACCGGTACCTTGACTTCGTACGGTACGTGTTTATACACAATATACGGTATCTTTTTCTCTACGGGCACTGGTACCGGAATCTTCTTCTTAATTGTTATCACTGGTTCCTGCCAGATATTGCTCCTTGGGAATCTTCTCCAATCTTCTTCGTTTCCGCGTGTATTTGGCCATTCTTTGAAAGACTTGGATTCGAATCTTTTAAAATATCTGATCCAATCGTCGGTATCGTTTTCTGGTTCTTCTTCCATCGACGAGGAAGAACGATTGTCGTAATTGAACTCACGGTGAGGAACTTTTCTCTTATTGGAGTAAGATTCTCGAACGATCTTCGACTCGGTGGTGGTGTTTCCGCTTTCCAACGCTTTCTCCACTGCTCTTTCCGCAGCCCTTTCCGCTGCTTTTTCCACAGCCAGCTCCGCTGCCCTTTCGAGATCCTCTTTTCGAGTTGCCGTACACGTCACGACCATGGAGAGACATAACAACGTGATGACATTTTGCTTCTGCGTGAGAATCGGATAAAAATTAATCAGAGAAAAAAAACATTCGCGTGGAATAGATGAAAGGAAGAAATGAAAGAGACTTTACGTATGATTCAATTATATAATCAATGGATGGGATGGAAATCGAGAAACGAAATTGATTTAGTATCCTTTAAATTATCTACTTTTTTTATTCATTGGCAATATTAAATAATATCGATGTAATATATTTTAGTATATAAACCAGTTGGAAAATATGTTTCACCTATAACTCTTAAAATTCATCTTTATGAAAGGAGGAAGAGGAAGAATCAACCCGATGAGGCTAAAAGATTAAGATTCAAAAATACCAACCAGTCGTCCCATGATTTTTCTAGCCGTGATCAAAGTGCACTGAATCCAAGCGGATGCTGTTCCAGTATTATTTATACACGGTGGATGACTTTCGCCCGTCCGACCAGATAGATCTTTATAGACTTGCAATTTCCAACTTGTGATAATTACCCACCGTGTAAACGACCATTTTTCATGAGAATCAGTTCGACAGGGTCCAAGAGCACGGAAACGTACAGGCATTTATTATTAGACTCGTAAAACTGTTTTGTTCCCAAAGAAATAATTCTAGAATACCTTTGTCACGGATTATTGTCACGGAAATATTTACGATGGAACAGAGAATTTTCTCGAATCGAGCATTTGAACAAAATTGAAATTACTCTTAGAAATTGAATAATTAAAAAATTTCTACTATATTTCTAATTTTTTCATTCGAAAATTATCTTTTATTAGATTCTATGAATCGATATAAATATTCTCAAACATATTCACACCCTTGTGAATGTATCTTTCCCCTATAAAGTAATCTGCAATGCTTGCGAAACTGAATTTTTATTCCAAAAAGACAAACTTATAAAACTTATATGTATTTATGATGCATGAATTGCAGAAATTTTTATTCACTAATGAAATGATAATGACTATTTATATTTAATATATAAAAGTGAATGACCACTTTCTAGAAACAATCGTAAAATCACCTTGAATCATTTCATGGGGCCACGTTTTTCTGCATAAAAGAAATATTTTAAAATTTCCATCGCGGAACTCACGAGAAGTGAAAATAGAGTTACGTTTTTTTTATTAATCGTTTTCGCAATGCTTCACAGATTTATACGCTGGACAACTTTTTGTTTCAGTCTCCTCACGTTCTTATGCTTTTTTTTTCTTTCTTTTCATACCGTTGATCCTCATCAATCACACGAGTCATCGAGTTTCTCGTGTCTGGTTCAAGTGAAACCGAAACCGGTATAAAACTTCTCTCAGACGGCGCGGTCTTGCCATTTTAAATCGCATCGCTTTCTTCCTTTGCATCGACAATTAGATTAGATATCTTCTCTCGTTTCCAACTTCGCGCCTTCCAATTTGAATTAATTTTTCAATTAAACGAATAATTGTTTTTTTATGGTTTAATGGAAAACGTAAGAAATTCTTCGTCGAAAGTCGCGGAATTTGCTCTTACGTTGCATTACAGGAAATGACGTTGGGATGGAATTAAAATTATCAAATTATGATCAGATTGTGATAATAAATTTATTGTAGAGAATTGGAATATGATTGGATTTTTTTTTTAAATAAAATTTACGTACGATTGATCGACAAATATCGTTTTGCTTCGTTTTTAACTTACTTTAATCGTTAAGTTATTTTCAAGTGCATTTAATTCCGGTTATGTGGAAAGTCTCGATCAAGGTTGAAAGTTATGTTACGGTATATCGATACGGTTAATCGGAGCGAAAGCGAATGCGATTCAAAAATGAAATCGACGATATGGATTCCACTGTGTTTACGAGGAAAATAAATATACGTTCGAAAAACGCTTCCACTATTTTATACTCAAACTTTATTATCAATCAATGACGGAAAATATTTTTCCTACAGATAATGGGATTAATTAAAATGTTATTTTTAATCGTTTATTTTCACATACAATCTCTCGTGCAATGCGAATTCTATAATAGAAACGATAAGAATTACGCTTAAATGCACTTCGCTGTGTACCGTATTATCGATACATAATTATACTCATAAATACAGTTACAGAGACTGCACTTTACTCCAAATGTTGAAATAATAAAAATATCAAAGTAATATTCAAAATCAATCAAAAATCCATACTTTCAAGTTTTCGTCGAGAAAAGTAAAAATTTTTCGAATTTCGCGCTGATTAATCAATCGTCCTAATATCTTCTATCTATATATTCACTCCTTCCAATCACTTTCGATCCCAGACTCGTCTACGATTGGTGCCACCTCCTCCTCCGGTATCTCAACTGGCACCTTAACGGGATAAGGGACTGGCTTCTCTACAGGATAGGGCACAGGTTTAGGTACTTGTACGGGTACTGGCCGCTCGACTGGTACCCTCACCGGTACAGGTACAGGTTTTTCGACAGGATAAGGTACCTCTTTTTCCACTGGATAGGGTGCCGGTACGGGAATTTTCACTTTGACGAAGACAGGTTTATCAACCGGCACAGGTACAGGCCGTGGAACCTTAACTTTCACGGGTACAGGTACCGGTTTATCGACAGGATAAGGAACCGGCTTGGGCACAGGCACGGGATATGGCTTAAGTACTGGGACAGGTATCGGTTGCTCAACCTCGATCTTCACCGGATAGGGTACCCTCTTTTCGACAGGATACGGTTGAACGACCTCTACAGGTACCTTTATCGGTACAGGTATCTTTCGTTCGATAGGGTACGGTTCGGGCACCGGTACTTTTACTTTATAATGGATCTTCTTTTCAACTGGATAAGGTTCAGGAACGTAGACCTTGACAGGCACCGGACGATCCACGGGTACCTGGACCGGGTAAGGTACCTCTTTAATCACTGGCACAGGTTTTGGTATTTTGAGCGGGACCTTGATGAAAACTTTGACCGGATATGGCACCTTCTTCTCCACTGGATAAAGTTGGGGTACCGGCACCTTGACAGGATAAGGCACGTTCTTCACTATCGGATATCGTATCGTTTTCTCTACGGGATAGGGTACAGCTATTTTCTTCACTGTCACCAATTTGTATGCGTCCTCGTGATGATCTAGAACTTGATCGTTGGAGTGGACTCCAAGCAAGGTTATTTCGTTGCTCTCTGGGACGTAAGTCTTTTCCTTCATCAAAGTTTCTCCGATTTCGATGTGATCGCTGTTGGAAGAGAAGAGCTCTTGAGAATGGTTTCCCGCTTCCGTCTGATGATCTTTTAGAGGCTCTTGGTACGAATTGTCTGTAAATCTCGTTTTAATTAGTTGTTAATATTTCACTGGTATGAAAAGGAAGAGTTTAAGATGATAGATTCGCATACGAATTTGTTCGACCGTCTCCGTCGATCTTGATCCTCGATTTCTGTTCCTTCGAACAGAATCGTTCGTTCTCTCTTGCCTGATATGATAGCTTCGCACTTGCTTCGAGTATCTCTGTGGCCGTACAATCGTAGAATGACAACTTTCCTCGGAATCGAAATCTTGCTCGACAGAATAACCAGAAGACGTCGCCATGAATAGTAGCAGGAGGATCGTTGCATTTATCTGGAAATGGAACGAAGAAAAGTTTTTCCAGACCAATTTCACAACGCATCGTGTCCCATTACTTCAAATTTTCAAGTATTTTTCACTTCTCTTTCAACGCCACGTACCACGTGATCCATTCTGAATGGATGAATAATAACGATGTCTCCTCAGGGTCGCAGAGTCGAGACGCTAGACAGAAGTAAATCAATCTTAGATTCACTAGCTTTTATATACTCGTTCTCCATCCCTGAGGCTGTGCTCCAAGTTGGATAGATTCACCTAGAGGGGACGCGTTCGCTTTCGCGTATTTTACCGAGAGTGAAACTCTCATCCAGATGAGCCTTGGTCAGGAGGAATCGGTTCAAGGAACTTGACTCCTGTTTAGATCGAATCGAGAATCCATAAAGAACTCGATAACTCGATCGACGAACGAGTTCTCTAGTCGAGTATAAGATCGAATCGATCTCTTATGCCTTTTGCGACGTTGCATTTCCACGATGCTCTGATGATCTTGAAATGTGTTCCAGAACGATCTTGATGCGAATCGTACACGGAGGAATGAAAGCGAAATTGATATACTTTAAAATTGTAAGTAACGAATTTAAAGGGAATGGAAATCCCGTTAATTGTGATCGCTTTGTTTTAAGATTTCAGAGCACGCGATGATTACGGAACCGTGACCGATTTGATATCTTTTTTTTGTTCTTTGATACCTCTTTTTCATGCCCAATGCATGCTAATTTTTTTTTTTTCATGCATGCGTTATTCCAGACAGTTGCCCATCAGGAGAGAATATTTTTTCTTCTTTTTTATGAATGTGAAAGATATTCTATTTAGCGTATGATGAAATAATTTTGTTTCGTCTTTTTTTTCTTTCTTAATTTTAAAAAGATAAAAGATTTATGAAAATTGTAAAATATCAAAATTATAGAAAGAGAATAATTATGAAAATTCACTGAGAAAGAGATGAATGATCAAGATATTTAAAATTGTTGTAACGAATCGTAATAATCGATATTTAATAATTTTTTTTTTAAAAAGACTAGTTATGATTAACGAGTGTAAAATTTATTTTCATTGTTGGATAATTTTGTTGGAAATTTTATTATTCCGATTAATACATATAAGGCGAGAATTCATTATTGAAATTGTTATAATTAAATGGAAGTTTCTTTAATGATATGTAAAACACACTGTGTTGTATTAATTATACCTGTTTATCGTTTGAATAATGATTTAGAGACACGCGAGGCGTTTTGATTCATTTCTCAGTGAAAAAAAAATGTACTTCGACTAAAGGAATGTTGTTTAATCGCTCCGTATAATTAATATAATTGACTTCGCTTTCGACACGTGCATAATTCTAATCGAAGGATTAAAACAATCGCATTAATGGTGATTTATCGGATATTTTTTCTCTCTTTTGAAGTTTCATAACAAAGCAAAATAACGTCTAGAAAGATTTCAATTTAATTCAATTAAATTTTGGGTCATGGCATCGTTTATCTCGAATTGAAATATTGTCATTACGTGATTGGTTGATCTACTTTCATTTTAAATAAACTACTGTAACTACGGTCGATATCGTTTCCCACAATTAATTAAGAGTAACATTTCTTATATAATCGTTCTATCGCTATTTCAAAGTTACGATACAATTTTGATTCGTGATCGAGATTTAACAAATTCATTTTCAATTAATGCACTTTAATTTAAAACACGTAAAAATATTTATACCGATCATCGTAAAAGTCGCACATCTTGTTTACCGACACTCGTTTCGATTAAAAGTTCGTAAAAGTGTCGAATTACACCATAGCGTTGCAAAGATTCAAATTGAGACGCAACTTCGTAATTAGCAAAATTAACGAGTGAATTCTTGACACTGAGGAAAGAGAAAATATTTCACAAGTTTTAAAAGTGTTAAAAGTCAAAGAGATATTAGATATGACACGTATAAAAAATATACTTCACGATAGAAAACGAAGCGCACATAACATCATGCGAATAGAAACGCTCCTCAGTTAAGAGTCGCGAAAGGGAAATAGGACTGTTCCGGTCGGACACAAAGGTACAAGTTTCTCTCCCATGACGATCTTTCGTACGAAAGGGAAGTCTCTCTCACTTTCAGCCTCGGTCGAAGTCGCGTGCGGTTCGATTGCGTAAGAATCGCTGACTTGTTCGACGGACGAGCACGAAGTATGCGATACGTGAGTCAAGTGACTATGCTTGGGCACGGTCGAAGTGGGTCGAAGCGCAAAAAACGGAACTCATTGTTCATTATCACAAAAAAAAAAAAAAAAAGGAAAGAAATTTTAATTTCCATTTCTCGACGTGTTATAAAATATTTGTTTGTTCTTAATACGATTATTTAAATTTTTGTTTGTTTAAACTTTCGTTTGTTATATATTTTATCATTATCGACGTATTTAATTTTCGATTCTCTATACTTTCAATTATTTTTAATTCGCATTTTCCACTCGATATATTTTAATTATCTGTATATCTGCCATCGTGTATTCTCTCGTGTATCGAACCGGTAGTGCACAACCGGTAGATAAGCCCGAAGAAAATAAATAAGTCGGAGGCGCGATCCATCGACACGCTTGGCCGCTTTCAGGCCGCGAAAAACGTTCTCCGAGCTAACGACGTCAATTAATGATTCTAACGAACGCGTGCGCGATCCATCGAATTATTAATTAAAACAACGCTGTGGTGCGTTTTCAACCATATTATCGAGAGTTCCGAGGAGTTGCACATAGATCGAAATCGTATATAGAAGAATCTTCCAAAGTTGCTTAACGAACGCGCAACAAAGGTAATTGAAGGCTGTTCGTCGATCGTTGCTAAAGTTTCCGGTGCTTCCATCCAACTTCCTCCTAGATAATCACTTTCCCCTCGACGTCCTCTTCGAAACATTTTACGGAATCAATTTTAAATTTGCGGTAAAAATTCCTCGTCCAAGTTGTGTTAATCGAGAGATAAAAAGTATCATCGTATCAAATTTAAAACTGTGGATATACGAGGATCGATACATTTCTATCGGAGTAAGAAACTGTACGGGTTTCGCGAATTCCTTCTCGACCTTTTCCTCAATTCCGTGGAAAACGGATATGGGTCGAAAAGCAACGAGCTGCATATCGGTGCAAATTACGAGGACACGGGGACGGGTAAGGAGCGATCAAGAGCATCGATTTGGCAGGGACGCGTTGGCAGCGAGAGAATTGGGTCGCCGCGGCTCTACCATCCGATTTGTCGCCGATAGAACACCAATTCTTTTTTTGGTGCGCGAGCGATATTCACAGCCAAAATAACCGAGTTGTCGTTCGGAAAGTTTCTAATGAAAAGTGAAACGTAGGAATTCGCGAAACACGAATTATGTCCCCTTCCCTTCGATCGAACTAATTCGCGTGGAAAGCGAGCATTCGATCGTGACACACGCATCGCGACATTCCAACATTCCTAAAACATCGATCAACAATCGGTGAACAAGAACGGGGAATATCGGTGAGCCGAGCATGAAGAAAATGAAAGTGGAAAATTATTGAACCGGTCATGATGTGATCGAAGGGAGTAGTGAAGGAAGGTCAGAGCGATAGAGAGAGAGAGAGAGAGAGAGAGAGAAAATTGGTTGAATATTCTTATTACGTTATTAATATTTATAATTCGTATAAAAATACATATATTCTGCTATTTCGGTAGAAAAAAGAAAGATGAGATAAGCGAGCTGTTTATCGAAGGAAGATCACTAAAGATGGGCATCATCCATGAGAATCCGCCTCTTCGTATCCGTGACGCGCGTCGCCGTGTTGCGGGACTCGATATACGATCGACCTCGGAGGGACCGGCCTCTGGTACGACGTGTTCGTTACCGGAAGTCCACCCCAGTCGCGATCCAGGTACAAGAAAAAAATAGGTGTGCGCGTGTGTGTGTGTATGTGTGTATCGACCATTGCGTGCCATTATCCAATACTATCCTTTTTCCACTCGTTCGTCTCTCTTCGTTTCTCCGCTGCGTTACCTAAAACTGTTCGTCGATTTGCCCGATATCGCCCGACAATGATTCCAACCTTACCGATCCCGACTTAATGATAACCATGGCCACCCGCCCAGTCGCCGCTGTAACCGTGCTCGTGATGCACCGGAACCGCCACAGGCACCTTGACCGGGACCGGAACAGGCTTCTCGACCGGGTAAGGGACCGGTTTCTCGATGTGGACCGGGTACGGTCTGTCCACAGGAACCTTAACTTCGTAAGGAACGGGCTTCTCGACCGGGTAAGGTACAGGCTTCTCGACCGGATACGGCTGCGGGATCGGCACCTTGACCGGGACAGCGACCGGCTTCTCCACCGGGACCGGGTACGGTCTGTCGACCGGCACTTTGACAGCGACCGGCACTGGCTTCTCCACCGGATAGGGCACCGGCTTCTCTATGTGCACAGGGTAAGGTTTGGGCACGGGTATGTGAATCGGCCGATCGACGGGAACCTTGACCGGGACCAATTTCTCCACCGGATACGGAGCTGGCACGTGGACAGGGACTTTGACCGGGACCGGGACTGGTTTCTCGACCGGGTACGGTTGCGGGACCGGTACCTTGACGGGGTAAGGCACGTGCTTCTCCACGGGGTATGGTTGCGGTACCAAAACTTTGACGGGGTACGGGCGGTCGACGGGCACGTGGACCGGGTACGGGACCTTTTTCTCCACGGGGTACGGTTGAGGCACGTGTACGGGAACCTTGACGAGAACCTTGACCGGGTAGGGCTTCTCCACGGGGTACGGTTGAGGTACGGGAACCTTGACGGGGTAAGGCACGTGTTTCTCCACGGGATAGGGCACGGGCTTCTCGACCGGGTATGGGACGGCCACGTTCTTCACCACTGTCAACGTCTTGACGTGCTCGTGTCCACCGTCCAGGTAACCACCGCCGTAGCCACCGTCTCCCAATTCCAGGCCACCGCCGTGGCCGCCGATTCCGATATCGTAGCCACCGTCGTAACTGTACCCGTAACCGAGACCCAACAGGCCGCGTTTCTCTTGTTTCTTCGTCGATTTGTCCTCCACGCCGGCCTCCGCTTTCTCAGCCGCCTTCTCCTCGTCGGCCCGTGCCGATGAAACCAGCAGAGCTATCGTCGTTGCGTAGACCTACAAAATCACATTAGGAATCGTTAGCGGATCTCGGATCTAGGATCGCTTCGAGAACGAAAGCGATTCTAATGAAACCGGTTGGAAACGGAGATATATTTCGAGACCAAAAATCCCTATATATATACACATATGCGAATTCGCAATTGGAAAAATCGGTTTTCGATCCACCGATCTCGCCAGGTATATTCTACCCGGATCGAATCACTTTTCGGTTAAGGCTTCGAGTTAAGGATTCGATTTCCCGGAAGGAAGGAAAAAGTGAGAATTATCCTGAACTCGGAAACTTGGATATCGATCGTCACTGACAGCTCGACGGACGGGAATCATTCACTTGCGGGGACCACGGTCTTTTTGGTCTCGTCGCACTGAATCCCGTCGCAGATCCCCGTTGCTGTTCCGGTTTCACGACCGGTCCCTCGACCGTTTCCTTCTCCTTTCCGTCACACGTACCAGGACTCTCATTTTTGCTCTCGAGATATTCCAGGTGCGTCCAGAAGTGAACTGGATGCTGATTGCCGTTGGTTCGTCGCCTTATATACGCGGCATACTTTCGCCTTCGCCACCCGGGCCCGACACGCCGTACCCCCCACGTTACACCTCTTTGTTCGCGTAGAACGACCACGATCGCCTGCTACCACTCCCCTTTGGGAGACACACGACTCGCCTCCCCACGCCTCTCCGAAACGTCCCTCTCCCTTGCCAACGGTTTCGTTTTCTTCTTCTTCTTCGTCACCACGGATCCCCCACTTGTTCGGCCCACCTTCCTTTGGTCCCGCTGTTATGCGGATGTCTGTCTGGTGGTATCCCCCCGATGTGCCGTGTCAGTCGTTTCCACCTTTGCTAGACAACTTTGCCTTCGTTTTTTTTTTTTTTTTTGTTTTTTTGTTTTTTTCGGACGACGATACACGGTTTAGTAAGGTATCTTTGGGATGTGCGTCGTAATCTTCTCTCGAACGATGTTGCAGTTTCGAAAATTCAATTTGTAACGCTTCTCCGTCACACTTGGCGCGAACAAGTTTTAAATGGATTCGTTTATTCTTTTTTTTTTTTCTTAGGTAATTAGTAGCTCTAAATGGGATAACGGAAAAATGGAAGAGTTGATTAGATTCGTTAAAGAAGTAAGAGAAAATCTAATGTGTCAAATGTTGCAAAAAGAAATCTCCCTGTCACTACCTCAACTTCCGATTAATGCGTAATTCGCATTCCAACCTGTTGACGCGTTGAGAAATATCTCTATTTTCACATCTCCCTCAAACGAATTTCTCGGGAGCCTCCCGTTTTTTCCCCTACGAACCACGATCGATTCCACGAGGATGATGGAACGATCCGATATCCGTGTTACTTGCGAGTTTTTTTACTTTCGCAAGTAAGCGAAATTCGAATTCTCGCAACTGACGGATATTACCCTCCTTTTTTTCTTTTTCCTTTCAAACGGATTGGCGATAATCGTCGCACGATAATCGGATCGATGCAATCGCACAGCTCGATCCGATCCTCTTCCCTTTCTCCCTTGTTGTTGTGCCGTTCCGTTCCGTTTTCGTCCTTCCTCTCTCGACGCAAGGCAACCTCGACGTGTTACGTGCGCGCGCCCGTAGGTGCTCACCCGCAAGGATTTATCCGCCGCCGATCTCGTGGGTGCAACCGTTGCTCCCTTTCATGAGACACGCGGTCCTACGTCACGATTTCCCTCTCTTTTCCCAGCCCGGTTCCGTTTTCTTACGACGTTCTCACGTCGTGGAAACGTCGCGCCGCCACTCTTTTCGCGCCGTAATGTGGATCGATGTTTATTCGATTTCCACGCGAGAGATCGTTATGCAACGGGTGCATGGCGATACGATCGGGGAAACTGATGATCGGCGCGAACCTGTTGGGAGGCAGGCGAACGAGTCGATTCGTTCGTATCGTATCGGTAGGGAGACGAGTTTATTATAATTTTAATTTTATTTTCCAAGTTTTTAAGTAGGAATTTTAAGCGAAACAATTTTATGAAATATCTTTCTTAAAATGTATTATTGGATACGTATAAATGCAATAATTTTGTGGTATAACTGGTAAAAGTTTGTATTTTTTTCCAATCTTTTTTATATAATAGAGTGATAAATCATTAAAAATATTTTTTATACATTTATTGAAAAAAGTCATTCCACGTATCCAATCCATATAATAATTATGCTTTGCATACGTAAGTTTAGTGTAAAAAAAAAAATATTATCGAGTAAATTTCCTATATAAAATGATAATTTTCTCGCGAGGTAAAAGAAAGGCGAGCCTAGAGCTCGGATAATCGAAAATTAATTGATAATAAGGTATAAAGTATCGATTAGCAATTAAATTATCCGTGCTGAATCGAGACGAGATTCTTCGACAGATATTAAGCAATTTTGGCTTAATAAGTATCAACTATAACTAATTTCCACGTTCGGCACGAAGATGATTGAAAAATATTCTCTGTACAAGGATAAGATTTGAAAGTTGGATCCGTCGCGTCTATGTCGATTGAAATATTATCTAACGCGAGAGAAATACTAAAGATCAAAATTTTATGATTCCCCGACCACGATATTAAACTTTGGTACATGTTTCGATTTTTTTTTTTTTTTTTTTTTCCTTCTTTTTCCGAAACGACCACGCGGATACGCGTGAATCCAATCATTGACAGCGAAGGTTTCTTCTCCTTCCAGTCTACCACTCTCAACTCATTTTCATTACCTTGGACAGCAGATAATACTTCTATCTTCGATTCTTAGAGGCTGGCTTAACTTGGATTTTTATCTCGGTTAGCCACACGTGGGTAGAATTCAAAGGTCAATCGATAAAGATTCGGAGATACGAGTATTCTCGACTCCGCGTAATCACTCCACGCAGAGAGTTTTATATCCTTTCGTTCAATTTCACCTTCTTTGGTCACGTTCAAGCGTAATAACCATCGATTTGAATCTTTTTCTCTTCTCCTCTTTCACCGATTCCACGGGCGAAAGAAATTTTTCTGATTTTCAAGGATGCCTTGAAACGTCCCTTCAGCGTCCCTCCCGTTGTTAACGTTTCAATTATACATCTTTTATTCCGCTTTCATAGAAACGGAATGTAAAATTGGAACTGTGTCGCGTGTTATCCTTTCCTTGCTCGATTATTCTTGATTAATAGTCAACCTCGCGTGCGAGATGAGGAGACAGACGGAGGCGGACAGCGATTTAACGCCTCGCTTTCTGCATAAACATTTATAGAAACTCATCGGCATTTGCATCAATCGTGCAAGAGATAAAGCATAAGACAAATTCAAAGATGGAAATCGGTGTGTACCAGTTTAATAGAACGGAATTTTATCGTGGTATAATTCTCTCTTCGTAACTTGTGTGGATCACGCTACATCTAATCGATAAATTTTTTTATAAAAATATATAATATATACTCTTCAAAAATTAAAATTGTTTCTTTCGATATACACGGTGGACAGTATACAATCATAAATTCTTAACAGATATCGATCTTTTTACTGAATCACTCGATCAAACTGAACAACTTGAAAACGATATCGATTTAAGTTTGACTCGATTAATCATTTGAACACGAGAAGAAGAAAGACAGCTACAGCATTATTGTTCGATTTGTTGTGCGTCACAACAAGATTATTACATCGATGCAGAAATTTTCGACGAGTCAAAAGAAAAAAGTAATTAATCAACGAAAACGATAAAACGATTCGATATAAATCAGAGGAGGACAGAGATATTTCTCCCACATTATTAAAATAAAGCGAATCATCGATGAAAGCGATGTCGCGCGAAAGCGAAAACGGGGAGGGGAGGAATCTCGGTCGTAAAAGAGGCAGGCGACCCACGGCGTGTAATTACGCTCGTTATGAAACTATCGAACGGCCCCTTCGGCTGAGATGGCGGGCGACATTCCTCTCTTTCCCGATCGTGAACAATTTCCAAGAGGAAGGAAACGCGGCCATCTTTCGAGACGGAAAGTTGACGAGTCTGTGGATCGTTAGAGCAACAACGATCCAGAAAAGAATCGTCCTCGCGTTTATTACGTAAAGGTCGTGATGAAGAGTCTCGTTTTCAAACTTCCCCCTTGCTCTCCTCTCTCGCTTTCATCGCGTTACCTTTCTCGGAGAGAAGATCTATCCGAGGAGGAGGAGGAACAAGCACGATCTTCACGTGCCGTTGAAAGGAATCCTCCTGAGCGGCGAATCGACCTCGTTGACACTGACCTTGACGATCAGATGTGTCGTCGTTTCTTCGAAAAGGTGGGTCATCGTCGTTAAACGTTTTGCCGATCGTTCGATCGATTACCTTGATTTTTCTTCCTTCTAGGTTACTCGTTAATTTTCAAATTGTCATGTTTTTGGAGGGTGAAATACATCGATATATATATATATATATATAT